GGGGTGGGGAGTACATGAGTGTGTCTGTGAATCAAAACTTGATGATTTTGTTCATTCTGTTGATTTGAGTGCAGACCCTGGGAACTGTCATTATTTCAAAGCCAATCTTCTGTTGCTAAAAGAGACCATATTGCTGCTGCAGTTGTCGCCCCGTGTGCTGGAGAGATGGTGGGGGGACAGTCTCGTGGCTCATGTCTGCCCAGGGGGGCCCCCAGGGACTGCGCACACAGATGACACCTGAGTTTAGGGTGCTGGATCCTGGGTGATTCGGAGAGTGAGGGCTCTTCCCGATGAGCCTGGGGGTGGGGCATCCCCCCGCCCACATCACAGGCAGCTTTTCTGCAGGTGACAGTGTGCTGATTCTGGAAGGACTTGGGGAACCGAGGGGGCTCTTGGTCAAAGTGTGTTCCTTCATCGGGGTGAGAAGCCCCCAGAAAGCCCTGGGCATCTTTGGAGTTGTGGGGCTTCAGAAATGGGCTTCAGCCTCCGACCAGAATTGTCAAAAGTGTGGACAGCTGGGAAATGGCAGTTTTCCTCTTGCCTGGGCTCACGCACACCTGGCTCTCAGGTGAGGCGCACACCTGTGGCAGCTGCCGAGCTGGTGGTCGAGAGGCCCTCATCTCCTGGCTCCCTGTGAGCACTGCGTGGCACTTCTGAGTGCCCACAGGATTGGGGCTCTGGTCGGCCCCTTGATGAGGGGGTGAGTGGGTAAATGGATGAGTGATTGGGTGGATGAGTGGGTGGGTGAGTGGTGGGTGGGTGGGTAAATGGATGAGTGATTGGGTGGGTAAATGGGCGAGGGGTGGGTGGGTAAGTGGATGAGTGGGTGGATGGATGGATGGGTGAGTGGGTAAATGGATGAGTGATTGGGTGGGTGAGTGGGTAAGTGGATAGGTGGGTGGGCAGGTGGGCAGATGCATGCGTAGTGTTACAGGAAAGTGAGGGAACCCACGTTTTCCATAGATAAGTTTGCAGAGGAAAGGGTGGTCTTTGTTTAACCCTAACTCGCCGTCACTTCACAGTGAAATGGCTGTGCTGTCATTCTTGGGAGAAGCGTAGCATTTTTGGTAAAGCTGTGCAGGGCCAGACGGAACATGAGCTGCCCTGTTCCCACGTGAGCCTCTCATTGTTGCTGTTCAGAGAAGCCCAAGCCCCAATGGCCCGAATCAGCAATTCTCTTAAGAAGGGCACCCTGTGGAATCTGGAAACTAAACAGTTCTAAGTGCCTCACTCCCATGTGGCACGAATCACAAAAAGGTGTGGGAAGTTCCTTTCTCCCTCTCTCCGTCTCTCTCTCCCTCTCTCTCTCTCTCTGTCAACTGGGAACATTAAGAACACCTTTTGTCAAACATGCTCCCGGCAGGTGTAACGCGTGTGCCGCAGGCTTTGCAGGGAGATGTGCCGTGAACGTGCCTGTCCCCCCAATGCAGCAGGCAGCTCTTGGGGCACACTTTCCAGGGGTGGCTTTGTGTGCGAGGCCGTTAGAGCAGGAAGCCCTAGTGGGTCCAGTCCGGGTGACGACCCAGAGGAACTCAGGAAATCCCAGAACAGCTGCTTTGGTTTGGGGGCTTTTCTGTGGACGGACAGGACTCCGGCCAGGGTGCTCGAGCCAGGCCAGTTTCTGCAAAAGGCAGAGAGAGCTACGCGGTGGCTGCCCTGCCACGTCCGTGCTCCAGGGGTTGTGTGAGACAGGCCGGCCGGGGCTCGTGGAGAAAGCGGCATTGTTCCTGCCCCGGGCACAGGGCCGTATTCATCCTGCCCTTGTTGTTTGCAGGAGAGGCAGATGTGGCACTACCCAAAGGCCCCCCCGCCAAGGGCACAGCGGTGACAGACCCCAGTCGCACAGCGGACCCACAGAATGCCTGGCAGCAGGCCAGCCCAGCTGACCCGTCGAGCCGCCCCCACTTGGTCCGCCTCTTTTCCCGAGATGCTCCGGGCAGGGAGGACAACACCTTCAAAGACAGGCCCTCCGAGTCAGAAGAGCTGCAGAGCATCCAAGAAGACAGCACAGCGGCCGGCGGCTCGGCTGCCATGGCGTCACAAAAGCGCTCCTCCCAGAGGCACGGATCCAAGTACCTGGCCACAGCAAGTACCATGGACCATGCCAGGCATGGCTTCCTCCCGAGGCACAGGGAGACGGGCATCCTGGACTCGCTGGGGCGGTTCTTTGCCGGTGACAGGGCTGTGCCCAAGAGGGGCTCCGGCAAGGTGAGCGCCCAGTAGAGAGCGGCGACGCGTGTCCGTGTTAGTGTCACAGGAACACGTGTCGGTGAGCTGAGCCGGCAGAGGGCTGGCAGCCACCGCGGGTCCCTCCTAGCTGCTGAGGCCCCGCTGAGAAAGGCTGACGGTCCCAGGCCATGCGGTCTGGGCTGTCACTTGCAGTGTCTTCGCGCACAAGCCCTGTGGTCCTCACCAGGGGCTGTAAACCGGCTGCGGCTGGGGGCGGCAGGAACTCTGGAGTCTTGGTCTCCCAGGTGGGGGGTGTGGGCACCCAGACCCAGCGCCGTGTCCCAGGGTCCCTGGGCTGCCCGAGCCTCTCCCGCCCGCCTGCCTGCCCCCTCCATGCCCACGTTAGACTGTGCTCTGTGTCCTGGGCGTCCGTGCCCGAGCTGCTTTGCAACAATCGTACGATTGAGGTGGAGGAGGACTTTGGAGCTGACTCCGAAAATTCCAGTCTGCCTTGGGCAAGCTCGCTGTTTCGTCTGACTTGCTTAGTGGAGGTGGGGTGGGGAGTACATGAGTGTGTCTGTGAATCAAAACTTGATGATTTTGTTCATTCTGTTGATTTGAGTGCAGACCCTGGGAACTGTCATTATTTCAAAGCCAATCTTCTGTTGCTAAAAGAGACCATATTGCTGCTGCAGTTGTCGCCCCGTGTGCTGGAGAGATGGTGGGGGGACAGTCTCGTGGCTCATGTCTGCCCAGGGGGGCCCCCAGGGACTGCGCACACAGATGACACCTGAGTTTAGGGTGCTGGATCCTGGGTGATTCGGAGAGTGAGGGCTCTTCCCGATGAGCCTGGGGGTGGGGCATCCCCCCGCCCACATCACAGGCAGCTTTTCTGCAGGTGACAGTGTGCTGATTCTGGAAGGACTTGGGGAACCGAGGGGGCTCTTGGTCAAAGTGTGTTCCTTCATCGGGGTGAGAAGCCCCCAGAAAGCCCTGGGCATCTTTGGAGTTGTGGGGCTTCAGAAATGGGCTTCAGCCTCCGACCAGAATTGTCAAAAGTGTGGACAGCTGGGAAATGGCAGTTTTCCTCTTGCCTGGGCTCACGCACACCTGGCTCTCAGGTGAGGCGCACACCTGTGGCAGCTGCCGAGCTGGTGGTCGAGAGGCCCTCATCTCCTGGCTCCCTGTGAGCACTGCGTGGCACTTCTGAGTGCCCACAGGATTGGGGCTCTGGTCGGCCCCTTGATGTCTGCATCTGGGACACTCGGTCTTCTTTGTGGCAGTGCCCTCGCTGAAACCTCGCTCACCTGGCCTATTTCCAAAGCTCATATTCAACTGCAGGTGCTCGTTCCTTCAAGCACAGGGGTGGGATTGGCAGACTGAAGAAGCCTCATGCTCCTGTGGGGCCCAGCCTGAAGCCACACCCATTTCAAAACCTGACTCTAGTCTGCGTGCTGCAGGGGCGGGAAAAGAGCATTTGAAGCCCTCAGAGGAGACGGGTAGCAGGCGCTGTGGCCCTGGCCTCATTCGAGGGGTGAAGTGGAAGGTGATTAAAAGGGGGACGTACTTATGTCAGTTGCACTGTGACTTGACCTCAGGCGGATGTAGGTACAGGCTGTGTATAACATGCTTTGCACATGTGTGCAGTCATTGCGTTAGAATCTCGTAGACTCCCTGGTGCCTTCGCAGAGAAGGTCCTAACCCTGCCCTGTTTGTCAGACCACTGGGCAAAGATCCAGAGAAATATAGTGACAGGATTTTAAAGAATAAAAACCAAAACCAAAACAACCAAACTCATTGCCATTCAGGTGATCCCGACTCATAGCGACCCCTCCCTGGGTTTCTAGGCAGTATCTCTACAGAAGCAGATTGCCCACCTTCCTTCCAGAAGTGGCTGGTGGGTTTGAACCGCCAGCCTGCTGGTTAGCAGTAAATGCCTTAGACACTACGCTACCAGAGATCCTTTAAAGACTAAAACCAATTCTTAAATAATGGGTTTAAGCTGTTTGAAGTAGCCCTTCTGTCCATCCCTTCTGTTCTCGCCCCATCCCATACAGATGGGTACAGATTTTTAAATGAACAAGCTTTCCCTGTGATGCCCAAGAATTGCCCCATTGTCCACACAAACACACACACACTCTGTACACATACACTGTGCACACGACACGCACACTGTACACACACTGTGTACACACACACACACCCTCTGTCCACATACACTACTCACGCACATGCTCTACACACACACACTCTCAACACACACTCTGTCCACACGCATTGTACACACATACTGTACACACACTACACACACACATTGTACACAGTGTGTACACACACTCTCTATACACACACTGTCCACACACACACTGGATTGCATCGCTGTGGAGCACGCTGGCTGAACATAGCAGGGATTACAGGCAGCGTCTGTTTGATCACGCTGTGGGTGTGGACCCTCTGCTAGCTTGGCCGTTTGTCTTTAAACCCTGGCTGTGAGCTTCCTGCACCCTGCACGTGGTCTGAGATGTTTGTCGCTATGGACTGCTCCGGGGTCACTTTTGCATTCTCTTGTTTTCACGTGCTTGGTTTATATCAGGACCCTTTGTCCATGACAGGAAAGGCCTCTGGGATCCCTTAGGGAGTTTTCAAAGGAGAGGCTCCAAAGGCCACCAACTGTCACTTACGCCACCATCTTCCAGGTGTGGTGTCACATCTACTGCACATGGGAGGCTGGGGACAGACGGGAGACACGGGAGGCGCTGCTTTGCCTGGCCTCTGTGTCTGTGCCCCACCTCACTTGTTCACAGACTAGCACTGTCTCTGACTGTAGCCCTCAGCAGTCCTTCTCGGGGGTGCGCCATCCCTGGCCCACCACGCCCCATGAGAATCACACGGTACCACTTGGTGCCAGGTGTCAGAGCTGCCTACGCCATCCCCGGAATGTGCTGGCAGCTTGCCCTCTTTGTGCAGCCGGGAGAGCAGGGAGCTGACCTCGGGGAAAGCGTGTTACAGATGCCTCGAGGGGGCGGATTCTGTGAGGGCCACCAATGAAAGCCCCCTTTGTTGAAAGAGAAAAGAACAGTGTTGGCTTTGAGGCGCAGGCGCCTCTCCCCTGGAATGTGGGGCTGTGAGAGAGACGGGCAGATGACGGGTGAAGATGGGGGCTGTCTCTCCTAAGTTATCACCCTTCACCTGGTCCTTGACCATCAAGCACTGAGAGCCCCTCACTGTTCCTCTCTCCAACTGACACCTGAAAAGATGAAACTTTGAACCATGGGTTTTGCCAAGTCCTCTTCCCTTGCATGTTTTACTACTAACTAAGGGGTCCTTGGTGACAGGAACACCATGTGACAATTCACCTGGAAGACATGGTGGGAACACACTGAGCCAGGTGGTGTCTCCCCATGTCCTCATGCTGTCAGAGGTCTTATCACTTCAAGTGGAAGCTGACTTCACCACTGATGACCTGAGCCCCTTGCCTCAATTTACTTTGCACTAAAAGCTCCACTCATAACCCAGAGCCCTCCGAGCTGCAGTTCTGTTGCTCTGTCCGTCACTGGGACTTAGGGGTCAGAACAGTGTCTGGCCTTACACGCTATTGGGGGTGGGGAGAATGGGGCAGTCAGTCTTATGAATTAACCAAAATGTTCCATGTCCTTTTTTTTCCCCATTGCTTTCCGATTTCATTAAGCACATGCTAGAGCTCTGGTAGCATAGTGGCTAAGGCACTTGACTGCTAATCAGAAGGCTGGCGGTTCAAACCCATCAGCCACTCCTCAGAAGGAAGGTTGAGAAATCCTACTTCCGTAGTGATACTGCCTCAGAAACCCAAGGAGGGGTCGCTCGCTACGAGTCAGGGCTGACTCGAGGGCACATAACAACAACAACAACAGTTGTACTGTAACCTAATCCTTCATTGTTCAAATGATATTCTGATTTTGTGAATTTAATTCTGTAATCCTATGGGGAGGTGTAATGTGTGAAGACGGTAAGAAGGACATAGTGGGGCAGCCTAGCAGGACACTGTGACGTGTATGTACTCCCAAGATCCAGGAGGGTAAGGCTACTGCCAGCCTGTCACGTCACACGGTGGCACAGGAGCTGCCTGCGCTCATTTGCACTTGTATGTAGTCACTCCCAAGAATGCAGTAGCACTTGAGCAGTTAGTTCTTCTAAGGTCTATCTATAGGGGGTCAGACTGACAACAGCAACACAAAAGGTTAAATGGGAAGCTTGGGGAGCAGTGAGTTTATGTTAATGAGGAGGAACCATTAAACACCTCCATGGACAACTGCCCCCTTTGCCAGGAGATCAGAACAACTGGATGGTGCCTGGCTACCACAACAGAACATTCTGATCAAGGATTCTATAGAAGGATCTTGCTCAAAAGGGGGGACATGTAGGACAAAATTTCAATTCTCATGGAAGCCAGACTTGCAGCAGCCATGGAGGCTGGATGAACCCATGAAACTAGGACCCTGAGATCATCATTAACCCTTAAACCAACAACATTCCCAGAAGTTTTCTTAAAACTGAACAGTGGTTTAGCTTAACTAATAAAGAATGTCTGCCGAGTGCACTGTGCTCTTTTAAAAACTGTCTCCACAAGATCAAAGTGACTTCAAAGACCGGATCAGAGCCTTGGGATGTGAGTTTATGTTGGTGGGGGAGGGACAACTCAGAAAAGGTGGAGAGAGGTTGCCCAGGTCCAGGAATGTCATCGGTACCCCGAGTGGTCCTTGTAGAAGCTGTCACAATGGGGTCTTTTGTGCCGTGTGTATCAGCGGCAGCCAGATAAAATAAATCACAAAGCAAGAGAGGGCAGCAGTGCACAGAGGCCGGCCTGGAGACTGCATGAACCCATGTGGCCAGAGCCCTGGCTTAGTGCCTCACTGGCCAGGAGATGGGTCCGAGCCTCTTAAAGGAAATGCAGACCTGCAGATACTGCGGGCAAGTTCTTCCTGGCGTGGCCGTGAGCTTCACAGCCCCATTGGTCACTCATCAGAGCTGTGCTGGGCTCAGTGACCAGCCCCTACTGTGTCCTTCGGTCATCTCCACAGCTCAGTTGTCCAGCGTTGTTTACAAAGCTGGCCGTTTTGCAAGTCATGTGCCTGCATGGGCAGCGACATGCCGCATCTTCTGCTCAGGATGGGTTTGTAAATTACGTCTGTGCGTTGAGCGGGCATTGCCTCTGCGTGATTGTATCACAGTTTGATTCTGTCACAAAGTTGGCTTTATATGTATTGACTGCCTTTTACGCATTCATTAAACAGTTTCACAGACCAACAATCGTGTGCTAGTTGTGGGGATTTTGGTAAGTTCTGTTTTAGTGTCACTACAAGTGAATGTGTTGTGTGACTGGTGTTCTCACGGCCTCGTGGTGCTGCCCACCAACAGGTAAGTATGAGGTGCTGACACAGGCCCTGCTGCCCACGAGGGTCCCGGGTCCCCCTCCTCCTCTTTCACACACAGTGATGCTGCTCTGCTGCCCCCATGCCAGTTCTCAGTATTCTAGTCTTTCTATTGTGACGGTTCTTATCTGCTGAGTGTGTTAATGTTTGTCACAGAGCCCATCTGCTTGGGTCCTCTAGTGCTGCTCTAACAGAAAATGCCACAAATGGGTGGTTTGAACAAACAAACAGATTTATTCCCTTACGGTTTAGGAGGCTAGAAGTCTGAGTTCAAGGTGGCAGGCTCTAGGGGCTGGGTGAAAGTCCCTTGACCTAGGGCTTTAGCTCTGCTTCTTGCTTCCGGCCCACTGAAGGTGGAGGCTTCTCTTAACTCAGACAGCTGCTGGCTGCTGAGGCTGACAAACCCAAGGTCAACAAATAAATTGGCACAGTTCCAGGATTACTGAACAATATGGAAGGCCACTAGTTCAACTCCAGAGACAGTCCCAAGATTGGCAGGAAACATGGCAGGGTGCTGAATGAGGACAGCTACACGCAGGGTCCAGGCCTGCCACAAAGCTGCACGGACCTTCCTCGATGCTTCTTCTCTACTGGAAGCAGACCACGTCCCTAAGGCAGCTGCTCCAGTAGATTCCACCATGGAGGTGATCACCAGTCTCATCATGGGGAATAACTACACCCAGCTGCCCAGCCCCTCAAACCAAGCTCCAGCCAAGCTGACACAGTTTTAACAGGCACACCTTCTCTACGGGCCCGGAAATGTGGGTGTGACATCAACAATGGACTCAGTGAACATTTGTAGAGTAGATGAGCAAATGAGAGCCTGGATCCCTTGAGTCCCCTCAGTGGGTGTATGTGCTAAAGAGCAGGAGGGATGCTCGAGGGGTTGAAAGAGAGGTGGGCAGGCTCTCCCTCAGAAAGCAGTGCGTGGACAAGATCAAGGCTAAATCTGGGCTTGTTTGTGAATGAGAAACACAAGCAGAACATTGAACTGACTTTGACTAGTCTGCCATCATCTGTCCAGAGCCTCCTACTGGTGGGTCCTTAGTCCTAACTCATCTGTCCATTTCAACTCCGTTCCATCGGAAGGCATTTATTCCCATCATCATTTCTTCCCCTTCGTGCGATTAGCATTTGCTAACAGACAGTTCTGGTTGGTCCAGGGAGAGCTGAACTTGACACCTGGGGGCAGGTATCATGGCTAGGAGAGAAATACCATCAACAGCCTGGATGTCACTAGGATCTTTCATTAGCCTTTAAGAATGAATTCATTTCTTGTCAAACACTGGTGCCATACGCCCCCCCCCCCATCGAGTTGTGCTGTTTTCATCTATCCCCACACTCAATTGTCCCTGGCATCTTCTTATGCCATAAAATAACTGAAAAGGCAAAACAAGAGAGGTGGGCTTTTCTGATGGGGCTCCGTGAACGGGGGCACTGACCAAATGTGAGTTCTTACAAGGCCACTTGTGACTTTCTGTCCTCCCCCCCACTCACTGAGGGGCCCCACGAGTCACGGAACCTGCTTGCTTTGCTGGTTCTTGAACTGAAGGGACTTTACTTTTCGATGAGATGTGCACACCTGGGCTCGAGGCAGCGCACCCTCGGGGCCTTGCACAGATGGCAAGGCTCACCTCTCCTCTCCCTGCCACTGTTTGGGACAGTGCTGGCGCCAGGATCCCAGGCTGCATTCCTGGAAACAGTCAGCTCCCGCAGGGGCCCCTGGACCTCACAGCGGCAGGCACTGCCCCCACCCCAAGCCCTGTGTCCCCGTGCGTGGTAGCCTGGGGACCAAGCAGCCCAACAGTATAGGAGAGTCACCAGAAGCCACAGAACCCCATGGCCATCTTGATGATCCTCCTCATGGTCCCATGGACTTCCTGGAGCCAGGGACGCTGGGTCAACCCCTGAAACTACTGCCCTGACATCACCTTTAACCCTTAAACCAAAAACATTCCCGGAAGTCTTCTTAAAAGCAAACAATCCTTTACTTAACTAGTGAAAAATGTCTGCCTTGAGCATCATGCACGTTTAAGAACTTTCTCTATGGGACCCAACTGACAACAGCAGTTGTTAGACAAAAAGCTGAGGAGGGAGGGAGTTGAGATTAATGGGGGTGGATAACCTGGCAAAAGGAAGGTTAGGACGGCCACACAACTCAAAGAATGTCATGAACATCACTGAATGGTCATGCAGGAACCATAGGCGTGGGGTCTGTGGGGCTGTATATCCTCAACCAAAACATACAAAGTAAAATGCAGTCGTTTGAAATAGGAGGAGCATCGTATTCAATAAGGGAAAAGGCTTCTCTGCCTTTGGACCCCGTTTCTCACCCTGACTTACCCATGTGAGGGATGTCACCCCTCATGGGGACAGCCGTGTGGAACAATGGTAACTACCATAGTGACTGTCAGCTGACACACTTTAAAACACTCGCTCTGGCTGGCTGAAGTCCCACCAGGGCCATGACTTAACTCGCTGGCGCTCCCAGAGCATGTAGAACACTTCTCGTACCGAGAGAGCCTAGCACAGCTGTGCAGCTAAGCCCTCGCCCACGACAGGTTAGCCCAGCCTGTTCACGCTGCAGGAGTATTTCTAGAAGGAGCTAACACCCTGCTGTGTGCTAACTACAGTGTTTATTCCACGGGTAGCCAGCTGACCACCTGTACACAAGGTTGATGCCATGCACAGCCTGGCAGGGCCTCTGGTGTGGTGGCATCATGTCACCTCCAGCCCGCCAGCATCCTTGGGTACTGTTCTCAGCCCCTGGCACACTTGCTCTTTGTCCCAACTGGACAGAAGCACCAAGGTCCTTCCCCTCGTTCACTGACTCTGCCCACTCACCTGTCCTGTGACTGGTGTGCAGCTGCTCTGAGAGCCGGCAGGGAGAACACATGGCCTTGGACCCCGATGCTGTTGAGAAGTCGTGACGAGAGCAGAGTGGGGAGCCTCCCCAGAGTCGGGGAGCAGCTGGGCGGCTGGCTGGAGAGACCCAGAGCATCCCACCGCACTAACAGCCCTTCCTTTATTCTCTGTGAGAAAATGGTAAAGGCCACAGACCCCCGCACTCAGCCCCATGGGGCAGAAGTGGTGACCCTTCTACAAAAGCAGGCACGTTTGCTATGAAATGTTTTGTTGTTGTTGTGATGTGCCGTCAAGTCGGACCCGACTCAGCGACCACTCCTTGGGTTTCTGAGGCGGTATCCCTATGGAAGTAGATTATCCCATCTTCCTTCCAAGGAGTGGCTGGTGGGTTTGAACTGCCAGCCTTCTGGTTAGCAGTCAAGTGCCTTAGGCAACTATGCTACCAGAGCTCCTATAATATGTTTTATAAACCCTATAAATAAAATTGGATATCAAATGTTTCCATTTCATCACAGACCCCAAGAGCCCTCTTAACACACCCAGAAAGCGCCCTCCTCCTTGCTGGTAGATGGCCCACATGCCGCGACAGCTACAGTTTTCAGAAAATGCGCCTGATAGGGCAGGGCCCCAGCGTGGAACCTTTTCCGGGAATGCTTCGTGTCCCCCGGCCCTATCTGCTCAGTGTCCCCCCAGCGTCCTCACAAGCCCGCCCGTTCCTCAGCTCCCGATGTTCTAAGCAGGCCTGGGCCGCCAGGTGCAGTGATGTGGCACCCAGGCGGTCGCGAGCCGCACTCACCGGCCACTCTGTGTCCCCCAGCAGGTGCCCTGGCTCAGGCCGGGCGGAAGTTCTGTGCCCTCTCCTCCCCACAGCGTGCCCGGGCTGTGCA